ACCACTTCCAGTTTTCTGAGTGGTTTATTGGAGATAAGAATCTCACGGGCTGAGAAGGTGGCTTCAGTAGTAGAGCGCTTGCCTTACATGCTTGAGGGCCTGGGTTCGATTCCTCAGCACCACATAAGCAGAAAAAAAAAAGCACTGTGACTGGACCCAAGAAGAAAAAAAGAAGAAGAAGAATGAGTTCACTTACATAGTACTTAGAAACAATCCCTTCAAAGTCTAAATCCAACTTGTGGCTCTGAAAAAAAACGTAATCCAGGCAACATGAAAATTGCTGGTTACTTAAAATCCTCCAAAGGTTTTTGTCCCCCAGTAGAAAATAATCCTAAAGCATTATTATAATCCTCTCCCACCTGAGTTTCAAGGATGGGAAATTGAGATAAACAGGCTTTCCTGTGTGCAAGTCAGCTTTTTCCATGACACTGACAAAATAGGAGGAAAGGTTTATTGGGTCTCATGGTTTTGGAGATTTTGCTCTATGTGTAGGGTGGCCAACTATTTTGGATCTGAATCAAGGCATCAAATCATGGCAGGACTATGTAATGGGTGGAAGCCTGTTTCATGGCAGTCAGGAAACAAAAAAGGGATAGAAGGGTCAGGGCTATAATATCTTCAAAAACATTCTCCCACTAGGTCCCACATCTATTCCTTCCTTCTTTCCCTCTCTTTTTTTTCACTCATTCAACTTGATTGCTCAGTCAGGGCTCAACCACTTGAGCGACACCTCTGGCATAACTTTTGTTTATTTTAGCAATAGAGTCTTGTGCACTTTTGTGCTTGGGCAAGCTTCAAACTACGATCTTCTGGATCTTAGCCTGGTAAGATTACAGGCATAAACTAGTGACATCTGGCTTTCATTGGCTATTTTCAAGGTAGGGTCTTTATGTCTGGGGCAGCCTGAGCTGCTGTGCTTCCTCCATACATGGGGTAACAAGTTGAGGCTAACAATGCCCAGCCATTAGATAAGATGGGAGTCTTACAAGGCTTTTATTGTATGTGTGTGCACGCGTGCATACATGCTGGTCCTGGGGCTTGAACTTAGGGCCTGAGAACTGTCCATGAGCTTTTACTTGCACAAAGCTAGTGCTCTACTACTCAAGCCACATCTCCACTACCAGCTTTTAATTTTTAATGGTTATTTGGAGATAAGTCTGATGGACTTTCCTGTCTAGACAGGCTTTGAAACTTGATCCTCGTATCTCAAGCTTCCAGAGTACTTAGAACTACTGGTGTGAACCACCTGTGGTTCAGCAAGTATTGCAAACCTTTTTTCCCCCAGTTCTGGGGCTTGAAGTCAGGGCCTAGGCACTGTCCCTAAGCTTCTTTTGCTCAAGGCTAGCACTCTACCATTTGAGTCATAACACCACTTCTGGCTTGTTCTGTTTATGTGGTACTGAGGAATTGAACCCAGGGCTTCATGCATGTTATGCAAGTACTCTACCACTAAGCCACATTCCCAGCCCTGTAGCAAACTTTTTTTTTTGTCAGTTGTGGGGCTTGAACTCTGGACTTTTGGCGCTGTCCCTGCACTCTTCAACTCAAGGCCGGCTCTACTGCTTGAGCAACAGCACTTCTGGTTTTCTAGTGGATTTTATTGAAGATAAGAGCCTTACGGAAGCTGGGGCGCTGGTGGCTCATGCCTGTAATTCTAGCTACTCAGGAAGCTGAGATCTGAGGATTGTGGTTCAAAGCCAGCCCAGGTAGGAAAGTCTGTAAGACTTTTTCTTTCTTTCTTTCTTTCTTTCTTTTTCTTTCTTTCTCTTTTTGTTGGTAGTGGGGCCTGAACTCTGGGCCTGGGTGCTGTCCCTCAGCTCTTCAGCTCAAGGCTACTGCTCTACAACTTGAGCCACTTCTGGCTTTTTTCTTTTTGCTGAGGAAT